GATTAAAGTACCGGCAAAAATACGAGTTACTTCAGAAAATTTTTGACCTAACTCAATATTTCACCTACTTCAATAAAACTGGTGAAATGTAGTTCAATTAATTCTAAAGGGTTTAAAAGACAATCGCTATTGAGTGGTCTGTTATGTTGCTCGATACTCAGCTGTTACTTCACCGAGTATATAGAGAACTTAAAAGAGCAAATGGGACTGGCACTAGTCCGAGAATGATGTATTGGATGGCGACAAAAAGGTACCAATGAGCATTCAGATATTTGTTAACTAACGTTCCCTACTGGACGTTTAAGCTAACAAGATATTGATCGAGTATCGACCGATACTTGACCGACAGTCGACCGATATATAACCGATAGTTGACCGATCTACCACTGACAGTATCGCGGTCGATATGTCGACGACACCATGAGTATCAGTAAGTGGACTATCGGTCGATACATCGGTTAATACTCGACCGATATATCGACCTGTACTCGATCGAGTATCGACCGATACTCGGCCGAGCATCGACCGATACTCGGCCGAGCATCGACCGATACCTGGCCGAGCATCGACCGATGTATCGACCGATACATCGGTCGAGGCCTCCCATAAGAAACATGATCCCAATTTGCCACCGTTTTTGAAGAGAGAAAAAAAATCCCGCAAAATCAAACGGAAAACTTCCAGCTAAGGGGCGTAATGTTAATTGTTATTTGCTATGAAACATTGTTTTGTTGTTTATAGGCGATAGAGAGACTAGGACTAAACTCAATCACCCCATTTGATCCTAAAACAAGAATAATTGAGTAAGTAGACATTGTGTGAAGTACACGTATGAACCACGTGTTCTTTAATGCACTTGTTGGTTGCAACAGCTGAAACTGCCATTAATAAAAGTAATAGGAAACTCTACCCTGATTAGCTGACGGTTTAGTGGGTGTCACGTACATTGGTTGAAGAGAGAAAATGAAAGCGAAAATGAGCAGTGAGCTTGTAAATTGTGCAAGTGTGATGGTGCTGTGTCAGTCCTTTATCGGCAAGTACAGTTTTTGGTTTTGTACATTACTCGCGTTCAATTTCTTGAATTTCATTAATAAAATGAGTTTTTCAGCCAAGTGTTTTTTCTCGCAGTATTGAATCCTTATCTATCGACTAATTGTATTCATCATTTAAATCTATTGTCAGATACATGGTTGGTGATGTGGAAGACGGACCTCTGGTGTCAATGTCTTTGCGACAGTTTATCTACAGTTTGGGATCTAGATCATCAGCCCCAGGAGGGGGATCCGCATCTGCTGCCATTGCTGCTATGGTACGTTTGTAAACACTGATTGGCCGATTTAGTTTAGTTTAAAATTAATTCCTGATTAATCCTGAGAAAACGGGGCTCAGTCTTCCCCTCCCTCCCTCC